CTCAGGACTCAGGCGCCTTACAAAATAATTCGTAAGCCGACTTGTAACGCAAGGTCATACTTAAGGGAAACGGCACAGCACACCCGCGTTGGGCAAATAATTTAAAACAATCAGAAGGATCCTTTCCAGATCAGGTACATTTGTGACCGGTGCACCAAATTCATTTATGGTCGATAACAGTTAGTAAATAAAGACTTTCTTGTTTTAAATGAAGTGATAGGTCGGAGCACTCGTTGTGTGATGAGATGGCAATGCGCAGTTTCAGTATGGACATCGGTTCGCATTGAATCAAACCTTGGTCAATTCGACCAACGAGACCATTACTGTAGCAGATGAATGCTGGGTGTTGTCCAGCGGAAAATATTTCTATTGATCGGTCTCAAATGCATGCGTGGCTGCCACAGCCCCAAAGTGTCATGTAGTTCTGCATATAACGCATACTGCAATTAGAAAATGAAGAGTCATCAACTTACTGCGGCTGCGCTGAGCGCGTTCAGGACGTGTGAAGGCACCTCAGGCGGCTCTGATTGATCACGTATCACGTTCACCGTCACCAAAGGCGTCTTTCGCTTTGACTTTTTCCGCCAACATGGATGCTGCTCTTTAAAATGTGACGTTTCAGTAGACGCCGATTTGCAAAGGTCTTTGTTGGGCTGATGGCTGTTGCGGTGCGGAGTGATGAAATTGGATGAGGACGATTTGGAACCACTATCTAAACTTGCTACGTCTTCGTCAACGGAGTCGGACAGCTTTAGATTTTTCATTGACTCCCGTAATGAACCGGATCGCTGAGGTATTTTGCGGCACAAAGGATGCATATTTACAGTTGTGCCACAGGTGAATGGAGGGGCGGTAACTGGAAATGATTCCTGTACAGATTTGGCTGGAATGTTTGTCGCTATGGATGCCAGGGAACGTGTGGATGATGAGGCGGACAATGAATTCAAGGTGGTCGTAGAGGATGATAAGTTAGTTTCATCAGCGAAACGGACCAGCCTGGATGACCCATGGCGGCTGGTACGGCCTTGGTCTGTACTCTGTCCAGTGTCAGTATCGTCCACTCGATTCAAAGTTTTCTTGACCCAGTCGCCTAGGTTACAGTGAACATCTTTATAGCATGGGTGCTGTTTCAGCAGACTTAGTGCAAATACTTTACTCCCCGGACAAAGCTCACTCTCTTCATCAGTGTGATACTTGAGCGATGACGTCGGCATACTCTGGCGCCGTGCGGAGGGTGAGTAGGCGCGTGTCCTCGTCGCGTTAATGCATTCCATAGAAGGCAGACAACGCAAAGTGAACAGACAACACACGTTTCCGGTGGATAGTGAATACATCCGGTCTGGCATTGAGGTAGACCAGTCGCGGTTGTCTATTTGACTTCGTGGTGCTCGCATCACCCGTTCGGGATCACGCGCTCCAGCACGAAGAGGACACGTTTCGTTCACCGGGGAAAAGTGCGAATGCATTAAGTTAAATTCGGGGTGGCAAGGGGTTCTCGTCAAACACACATCCGACCTACTAAGTGGAAGGGTGGACGGCGTAGCGGAGGTTCGATTTAACTGCTTGGAAACGAGCTCCATCATGCTACAACGCCTATGTGGGCCGTCACCCTGACCTGACTCGAACGGTGTGCTGCTGTGACGTCGGTGGGTTTTACCTCCCAGCGCTCGACTACGAGGTGGAAGTAGACTGCGGAGGCGCAACACCAGGTTGACATTCTTCCGTTTCGTCCCACTCTGATCCATTGGCTGTGGCTCCCGAAACAAGCTTGTCCGAACAACATAGTCCGCGGATCTCTTCGACATTGGGATTTCTAGCCGGGGATCATTAGGGAATTCTACAAAGAGAAGAGTAGGGTGGAAATGTGAAGCACCTACCTAATTGATTAAATAAAACCCACAGATGAAACTTATAACTCACCTGTACAATACTTTACTATATAGTATTGTCCGAGAAAATGCAAATTCGGGTATGGTCCATGCAATACTTTGTGATCGAAAATGTTTCCTATGTTATACTCTTTGTTGAATTTCATTCTTAACATATTGTTTTGGTATTGTTATTGGTGGTAGGGAGTCACCATTTCGAGAAGTAGAGCTCTACAAGTTCATCCGTTATAACTGGTTAGGGACCAGCTGGTGGATTCCCATGGACCTGCGCAATCGACTACGTCTATGTTCCAGTTGATTTTTGCAGCCATGTTGCAACTAATAATGATTTAAGTATTTAGCGCCAATACCGTACGATTGTTGGAGCATTTCGATGATAAAAGGGTTCCAACTCATCTTCCTGTTCTTTACCACAAGCGTTAATAATGTGGTGGTTCGGGATACCAAATCACAGAGGAAAATGCTGATAAGCTCTGTATTGTAAATCAGAAATCAGGGGCAGAAGAGCATTTTTGGAGAGCCTGAAGCATAAGGTGCCAAGCAACGGTTATGGTTATAGTGGTATACCATGAGTGTTCAAAAAGAAACCGAACTTTTGCTATAACATCTCTATTGCTCATCGTGCAACATTTTAAGTACTTTCACACTCAAATTACTCCCCTCTACTGGAAATACACCGTTCCAAAAGATGCTTCCATTTTTGGTTAGTCTCCTGGAACCCAATTTCTGGGTTGGCGCGCAGGTCGCATGTCGCATTGTATTTAATCTCTTCTATGATTTGAAAACGACCTCCTATCCACCTGGTTTTAGGTGTGTGAAACAGGAAAGTGTCTACAGGGGCTAGGTCCAGAGAATATGGTGGATGAGGCACTACGGGAGTGCGATGATTTGCTAGATAGCGGCGGACAAGGAGCAATGCGTGAGCCGGCCCATTGTCATGATGCAACATCTACGTCTGATTTTCCCACAGTTCAGACCTCTTCCTGTGTACAGCATCCATCAGACGAGCTAGAATTTGCTGGCATGAACTTACGCTGATGCCCACTTCGTCAGCAACTTCTCGAACAGTTATATGATGAGTTCCACGGAGTTCCACGGCACAAACTCTCTCGACGTGGTCATTATTTTTTAATGTGGCGGGTCGCCCACGCTTGGGATTATCACCGACCGACATTCTGCAGTGTTCAAAACACTTAAACCACTTACAGCACTGCGTGCGACTCATACAGTCCTCCCCGTATGCTTGGATAAGCAATTGTAACGTCTTCGTAAAAGTTTTCTTGAGTTTATAGCGCGTTGTTCTTCAAACTCTTTCATTGTTTATTTGGCACTACTCCGACGAACAGTCTGGACACGTGCTCACTTCAGCGGCTGTAGCTCCCAAACCAACAGTCAGAGCGAAATGCGGCAAGTGGTAATTTGTTGTATAAGTAAGCCTCCACATGCGCTCAGTAGCCGCAGCGCACTCCCTCTGTCGGTTGCCGCGTTATTACAAAAGTTCGGTTTATTTTTGTACGCTCCATATATGAATGCGTAAGAACGCATTTGCGGGAAGTTGTGAGTCGAAATAGAGGCGTTTCGACTTGTGTGCTGAACTTCTACAATAACTGAAAACAGATCGAAGTCGGATCGGATTTCTTGTATTTTGTAGAAAAGGGGTCCGATGGAATGCGCACTGTTGATGATTCCCGAAAGGATGAAACGCGCGTACAGTGCTTTTCCGGGCGTGTGGCGGCTGTCTGAGTGAGTCTAGATGTGACGAATTTCTACCTATACCATTCAACTCCCCCTACTACTCTTCTGTAATCAGTACGCAGACCAAACTGCTTATAATGCCATAAGTTAATTAGCGGCTTAAGTTTGGTAAGCTCGTCACTTGGTGAGGGGCTACCCTGTCCTCTGCACGGCAGTAACGTGTAAGTCAGTGGATAGTGAGCGGCGCTATATCACATCTAGTAACTTATTCACGATGGTCGTTGCCGTCCCCCGTAGCTCAGTGGTCTCAACCACGGACTGGCAACAGTCGAGTTGCGGCTTCGAGCCCTACCAAGGGTCCGATGGAATGCGCACTGCTGATGATTCCCGAAAGGATGAAACGCGCGTACAGTGCTTTTCCGGGCGTGTGGCGGCTGTCTGAGTGAGTCTAGATGTGACGAATTTCTACCTATACCATTCAACTCCCCCTACTACTCTTCTGTAATCGATAAATAAATAACTGGAGAGTAATTTTGATGTATTCGTTGTGTCAATAGATTGCAACCCGCAGTCTCAATGTGAGCTGCGATTCACGTTGAAGTGAATCTTGATCAATTCGATCATTGGTTCCGTAACTGATGACGCAGCTGGATACTGGATATTACCCGCCGGAAATCACTGCATTACAGAGATAACACTGGTCCGGAATCGGGAGAAGTCCAGTGCGCTTTGGAATCACAAAAGGTGGGCAAATATCTCGATGGGGTTTTGGGGATTCGAAGTCCAGGACACAGGTTAGTCATAAATAAATAAATAAATAAATTGTATATTCCTCGACGATGCGAGAAGCTATTCCCAGGAAGGAACACATCAAATAATGGTACAACTTTTCCATGACATTTCAGCAATACATTTTCAGAGATAAACAAGGAACCAAATTGCAAAGTAGGTTACACAAAGTAATCAGAATCGTTCTGCTATTTTTCCTGTCATTGAATACGGATTCTTCACAATCACATTACAGATATTTGGGCCAAGAGAAAAAAAGTAATGAAAGGGGATGTTGTCCTAAATGTTATGTGTATGTGTTTCGGAAATTTATTCAGACACCATGGATAACGTTTTCGAATACGTTATCTAAGGACTGTGATGTCCCAAACATCTTAATCACGTTTTGGAAGGTTAAATGCTTACTGATAGCAAGCTTAAAATTGCAAAGAGTATAGCATGTTCTGATACCACTTGGAAGTTTGTTCTTTGAGTATTGGGTTAGAAAGAAACGTTCTCTGATACTTGTAGTAGATGTTGGAATCATGACCTTAACCTCTTTGTTACGCATTGGGTATCTGCTGTTTACAGTTATGTGAACACCGTTTTCAAGACGGCGAATTTGACAATTTATGATTCTGTACAGAAAACATAGGTTCAGCTTCATTATCCGAAGCCAAACTGGGTCAAATCCAAGTTTATCACATCGCTTCCTGTATGTCAACTTTGAGGAATATCCACATATTACCCCAATATGTGACAGTTCAAGAGTTTCATCCGTTGTGCCGGTTTTCCATTTTGTCCATGGTTTATGTGACTTAGCAATCGTTGCTCACAGCCCGTGTCCCAGAACTAGAGTTTCAGATCAGCAAAACTAATTGCTCGAAGATAATATGATCATCACAACGTGAACACACAAGAGAATTCCTTGGGCCATCTTCCTCAGCTCGTTGAACTCACCTAGCCAGTAAGCTTATGGAGATAACCATGAACGGGCTTTTTCATGGTTTACGTGGTAAATACTCTAAGGGAAGCAAAATTTTCACAGCCAACGAGAACACCAAAAAACGCATGGCCGAGAAAAACCAATGAAAAGCGATCAGGTTAAGTACCAATCACAGATAGCCAACGAGAGATTAGAGATTGCCTTAACGTTAGATAATGCTGCAACTCAACACCAGAAATGGATCTTAACGGTTACTGCAACTGTTGAAATGATGCGTTAACACGAATAGCAAAGAATAAAAGCAAGAAGAGGTAAACTTCGTATAAAACCGGTCAATTCATTATTTGTGTGGGTAGGTAAGGGTGAGCACGGTCGAAAGTACACGGTGTCCCGTCAACCGTTAAATTCCACGCCTTTCGTGACGGACCTCGGTATACTCTCAAGCTGCGTCCTAAAGTCCGTTGACAACAGGGATAGGCTTTACATAAACGGACTTCGGATGCTTTGGGTGCTCAAGCGTAGTTTGTGAACTTGGTCCGAATAGATGGCCACTCGCTTCTTCGTCTCACTCAGCCGACTAATGCTAGAGTAGGACTCACCCACACACTGTCATATCACGCTGGGCAAGGCGGCAAAGATTGAGACGGTAGAGCAGGTAGTCACCAGCCGCATGCCCACTTTACGAGGAACAATGGAATAATGGTTTTATACGGGGAAAAAGCTAATGCTTAACAGGTCCCATAGAATGGTTATGGTGAAACTTCAAAATATACAAAATTGTTAGCGAAATTGGATTTACACCAGTGAACTCACTGGAGTATACGTAGTATAGACTGTAAATCCAAGGTAAATCCTTAAGAAATGACGGCAAATGAGATGTTGGTGAAAATCGTGTCTGCTTCTGGCGTACACATACAGGAGATGAAAAGGTGGAACGAAATCTGGGATTTGATTGCCAGTGAAAGCTATTATAGATACTTGTGTTTATGTATGGATAATGGGTCATGTAAGTTGGTGCAGCGAAATAGGTGCACGATCAACTCGGGGTTTGAATTGTGCCAGCGTGGGAGCACATATGACAGTCTGTTTGGGCATTCCACGTTCTGCAAACGTGTATGGAAAAGAAATTCCGACGGCATTCCAAACGACTGTGCTTTGCTCCCAGTTTGGGATGGCGGCCTCACAAATTGCCGTTGTGACTGAGCTCTAGCAAGCAGCTGCACATGTGGTTGGGATCTCTCAAAATTTGGTAAGTTAAATGAGGTCCCCGCGCAATCGCCGATACTATCCGCTGAAGATCCCAAGCACTTGAAGTCTTCGTTCATACGGCAAATTATATGGAGCATTGACATTCGTAGTTACCCGGCGTTGGATTATCTCCAAGGCAGTGAGATCCTTCCTCAGCCATGGCTACCAGACCTGAATTGCGTATTCCACATGTGACGGTATGCATGAGCCGAGAGGTTGTGGAAAAATCGAGGGGTCGAATCGTCCGAATGTACGTTTCAGGAGACCCACATGTTAGATGTCCCTCCTAGA